TTAAAAAAAAAAAATTGTAATACATAATCAAATTATAAAGCAAAGGTAAAAAAAACCATTCTTTAAAGCTAGAGTAAAGATAAAGAACTAAAAAAAATTTGTGAAAATTAAATTCATGAAAATCAAATTCTACAACTATCACTTCTTTTAAAAACCTTATAACAATATAAACTTTTTTTAATGAATTCTTTCTAAATATTAACGAAAAAATTTAAACTTCACAATGCATGTTCCAAATATTTAGCTATTTACGAACATATAAATAGCATGCATACAAGCATGTCACTATTTTTTTAAAATTCATGAATATTTAACAAAAAATTCATATTCACAACAAGTTAATTGTCACCTATCATTTATTGTATTCTAAGAACTATCTCAAAGCCATATGTATGCCTATATGATAACTATTAATACATATATACATACACAACAGCCTGAAAATGATTTTAGAAAAGAAAATCACATTAATTTATGCTAAAAATAGTGAAGAGAAATATGTTTACGTTTGACTGCAAGCAAACAAATGCTTGGCAACAGCTGCCATAGAAATGAGCACATTTGACAAAAAACTACACTGTATTAAAATGAGGCAAAAGTATAGAGAAATCTAATATAAAAAAATAACATTCAACTACAAAATTAATAAATACAAATATATCAACACTGATACATTTAATCTTTCCTGCCTTCAGTTTGCTGAACTCTAAACACATATGATTCAAATAGTGTATTAAATATTCATACCAAACTCTCATACTTCGGCTCTCGCACCTTATCTCTCAATAACTGTATTTGCCGTTTAATTTTGTGCATATTGACGCTTAGCGCCAATGCCAGGGGGTCCAACCCCTGTCAACACATACACAACTGCATTGAGGCGCTATTTTTGGCTCTTACAGAGAATATACTTAGTGTACGCGCAGACTACTGCGCTATTGCATGCAACAAATGTTGGGCAGCTGTGTCAATGTGAAATTATACAACAGCGGATAATGCACTAAATATGTTTTTTACAAGCGCCCCAATGCAAGTCATCGATGACTTAAGGTAAACAGATTGAATTGTCAATAAGGCGCCGATATCTGGCGGCGTATGTATCAGTTGCGTACGTGCCTTTGTTGCTAGCTTCCATGGTAACAGAACTGCAACAATTTGCCATTTATACAAGTCCTGCGAGAAATTTAAGTTAAGATGCATTGGTATTTTTTTCGTAAATAAATAAATGTGAAAGGAAAAAATTCGAAAGTAAAAAAGTTATCGAAAATTTCTGTCGTTTTTGGCCTACTGTTTGGATGTCTTATATGGAGAACTGTATGGTATACTATACATAAAATGCAGAAAAATTTTGATAACCACCGGTGCATTTGTCTCCGTGTAATCTCTGCAGCAACTTCGAAAAATGTTGGTTTCGAGAAAAACGCGTTTAAAGATGAACTGAAAGAGCCAATTGAACAGACCGGGTACACTTAACTTAAAGTAAAAGTAGTTAAAAGTAAAATATTCAATTAAAATGTTATCTTTTAAAAGTACTAGACTATCGAATTAGATAAAAAATAACGCATTATTTTTTTAAAATTTCATTCAAACTTAATAATACTTTTCTCATCAAACCTCTGATATTTCGAAGTTAGATAACTAAAAATTTGAGTTCTTGAGTGGTTTATACACTTTTACAAACAACTTCTTCAAAATTCCTAAAGTTCGAATTTGAACTTTCTTAAAATTAATACAATAACACATATTTTTCGTCTTATTTACAATAATTTCTTTTCAAATCGTCGAATGCTGTTCCAAATATTTTTTGATGTATTTTTTTTTTTTTTTGGCTTTGTTTTAGCGAAAAAATCTATATTAATCTAATTCGCTCCGTTTTCCCTAAAGGGTAGCACTTCACTCCCTCTTCGACTGTTGACAGTTGTTTGCGTTACTAAACAACAGCGCCTCGCCTCTCCCAACGATGCTGTTAATGTTGGGGAACATGTGGTTTTCATCAATAGCCGACAATGGCTCATTGAACCACAACGCGACGCGTAAATGTCACTGCCATAGCGTGCCTTCAATGCATGTACAAATGTAATTGCATACATACATTCATATACCTATGTAGGTACATGTGTAGAACAAATGGCGTTTTATTGCACGTGCTGCCGGAAACGGAAGTGCATACAGTCGACAGTCAACAAGTCAACGCATTTGGGGGTGTTTGCTTTATTGATTTCTGTTTTAGTTTACAAAGCCGGCGTTATGGTGCGATACTACTGCAAATGGAGCAGCAAATCGCGGCTATAAATGTTTAGGAAATCACCGGATCGGATATCAGTATGAAATAATAAACGAAGTGGGGCAGTGCTGTAGGCAAACATTTTAGTGAAAATTTCGAATTGTTTGCAGTTTAAAATTTAGTTTTGTAAAACATTATATAAAATAGTGTTTAAAACACACACACACACACACACAGTTACAAATAAACATTGTGATTAACCATGCATTCCTACACGCGCACCTACGAAACACACACACGCACGCATAGCACTAGGTAAATAAAACGCGTAAAAATAGTGAAATGTAAAAAAAATAAAATTTTTTTAAATTCTTGTTAATTAGAAATGTAACGGTTGTTAATAAAAAAGTCATTAAATTATTTGTGAGAAAATTTGTAAAATATTTTATGTGTGCGGAAGTGCATGTGATCATATTTATTTTGCATTTTTCATAAATTCCACGAATAAATGATTTAATATTTTATGTCTTAGTGAATTAATTATTTATAATTAGTTCTCATGTAAATAAAAAAAAAATAACATTGTATGCGATTTTTTTTAACCAAATGCATCCTATTTTACATTTCCCTATCCCCTACTTATTTAATCGTGCATAAATTATTATTTTTAATTTTATTTAATTTTTTCTTTGATTATTTATGTTCATCAATGTGTGTTTTCTATAGTTAAATTAATATTATTTTACTTTTATTTTTGCAGCGCACAAAACTCACTCTCCCGTCCAGCTGCCAGACCAAATATCGATTTCGCCACCTCACCTCTGATTCAGGTAAGTGATATTTTTTTTTAACTATTTAA